CCTTTTGCTGCCGCCGCCACCACCGCCTCGGCCAAACTTGCCTGGAGAAAAACTCCTTCCTGATCCCAAAGTGGCAATCAGCATTTTCCGTGGCATGTAAGAAAGGGTCGCGAGAACTAAGCACTGAGACAACCCTTCCTGCCCTCCCTCTCGTGATCTGTTTAAGTTCACAGAATCTGCATTGCTGTCAGATGGCTGTCTAGCCTCTGCTTAAAGACCTCCCAAGGAGGAGAGCCCACCACCTCCCGAGGAAGCCTGTCCCACTGTCAGGAAGTTCTTCCTAATGTTTAGCTGGGAACTCTTCGGATTTAATTTCAATGGAACTTGAGGATCCTGTTTTAAAACCTTGCGTGAGCCATGTACTTTCCAATCATGAGCACGACAAGGAAGGGGAGATTGGCCCGTTAAATGTTCAGATAAGTGGACTGGCTGGTGTTTCAGCTTTCCATGAGGTCCTTGTTATCACTGAAGGTAAATCAGTTGATTAAATCACTACTTTGTATGTTGGACGGGTTAAATTTACATTTCTGATGCCTTTTAAATTTTGCTTTGTCTAGGGCGGAAAAGCTGAAATGAGAAAAATCCCGGTGCCGGCGAACAGATATACGCCTCTGAAAGAGAACTGGATGAAAATTTACACACCTATTGTAGAACACTTGCAGCTTCAAATCAGATTTAACTTAAAAACGAGAAATGTAGAGATAAAGGTAAGTCATAAGAGCCGTTGCAGGTGAATTTGGAGCTATGCCTTCCTGTTTCTGTTTTGGCAGTGAATGAGTATTGCACTTGTTGGTCCTGAAAATGACCCGCTGCTGTGCCCATTCAGCTCCGTACCTACTTTGGCTGATGAGCAAAGATCGAAAATAACGCCCCAAGCACCAAGAAGACAGAGCATCACTTGCCCCAGAGCCCCTATCTATACCTTGTGGCTAATAGTGACTGATGGACCTCTGCTCCATATGCCTATCTAATTCCCTTTTGAAGCTCACATCCTGTTTCTGTTTTGGCAGTGGATGAGTATTGCGCTTGTTGGTCCTGGAAATGACCCGCTGCTGTGCCCGTTCAGCTCCATGCCTACTTTGGCTGGCGAACAAAGATTAAAAATAACATCTTAAGTAACTCCAAGAGGCTTTTCACCAGCCAGGAGCAATCCGCCTTTCCAAGTGGTTTCTCCAAATTCCCGAATCCACCATTCATGATGTTAGGCGAGAAAAAATTTAAACCGATTCCCAAATATAGGAAAGTCCTGAAAATCAAAGTGAGGGAGAGGTGATTGGATTTATGCCCCGCCCTTCACTACCCGAAGGAGTCTCAGAATGCCGTACAATCTCCCTTCCTCTCCCCGCAACAGACACCCTATGAGGAAGGTGGGGCTGAGAGAGCTCTTTTTGAGGACTGCTCTTGAGAGAACAGCTCTGAAACAGCCTGTGACTGACCCAAGGTCACACCAGCAGCTGCGTGTGGAGGAGGAGTGGGGGAATCGAACCCGGTTCTCCCAGATTAAGAGTCCACACTGCTAACCACTACACCAAATTGGCTCTATTTTGCAAACCCGGTGGTAAGACTGTCACAAGCAGAGGGTGACTTGGGCTTCAGCGTGCAGGATTTTCACCACTCATAACAAGACTTATGTCTTTTATCATAGTAGAGTCGGAGAATTCTGCCTTCGTAACAGCAGATAACAGTAGCCACGACTGCAGAGCTTCAGGCCAAAGAACTGTTGCACAGTGCTCAGTCTACCGTACAGTCCTGTATAAATGAGGGAGACCTTTTTGATGGCCAAGCCAAATGTGCCATTCCGCAGTTGAGGGTCAATAGGTGCTCTAGAGTTTATTTATTTATTTCCAAACTCTGTATTCCGCCTTTCAGCCTTTACAAGGGTGACCAAGGCAGCTCACAATTTAAAACCATTAAAACCAACCCCCCCTCCAAACCCACACCATTAAAACAATTAAAACAGCACTAAAATGCACAAAAACCTTGGTCACGAAGACGGGATTATTGAGGGAGTGCCAGACGAGACGAGAAAAGTCTTCACCTCCTGCCGGAAGACAGCAACAGAAGGGGACGGACGACTCTCCCTGGGGAGAGAGTTCCAGACCCAAGTGCTACTTATCCAGTCAGTAACAGAAAGAGAGCCCACAAAGTGGTGGACCTCCTGAGGGCACCTGGTATTTTTGGCCACTGTGTGACACAGAGTGTTGGACTGGATGGGCCATCGGCCTGACCCAACACTGGCTGTTCTTATGTTCTTAATTTAGATTGGCGTCATTTCCACAGGAATGTTAAAGCACAGTCCGCACAAAAGTCAGACCACAATAAAAGTGTTTAATTTTTCCTTGTGACGGTGGGGAATATATAGTTTAAGGACACAAGGAATCGGTATTTAAGTTGGGCTTAAGTTTACAGAGATCAGGGCCCTGCGGGACCTCTCACAGTTCCGCAGGGCCTGCAAGACGGAGCTCTTCCGCCAGGCATTTAATTAGGGGCCGCCACCACCCGGCCCGTAACTGTACCATCGAGCAGCTGCCATAAAAGTTGATGAGCAGAAGTAAATCTAAGCACTTTTAGATAGTTGGAAGTCCGCTTGAAAGTACGCCGTCTAAGTGAATCTTTAATCGCTGCCAGCATTTTGCTTTGTATTGTTTTTAACTGTTGTGTTTTATTGTATGTTCTTAGTCTGTGTTTATGGCATTTGGAAGCCGCCCTGAGCCTGCTTTGCAGGGAGGGCGGGGTATAATTTTGACAATAAAAAAATAAAAAAATAAATAAGCCAGAAGACGTTTGCCCAGGAGGAAGGAACAGACAAGCGGCGTGGGCTCTTAGAGACTCGGTAGTAAGGGAAGGAGGCAAGTTATCGTAGAGCCAAGGATGTCGTGAGAATGCGGAGCAAAATTTACCAGCCTTCATCCTCCAACCTCATCATTTCCCCCCCCCCTCCTTCTAGACTTGTAAAGAGACCAAGGATATAAGTGCCTTGACGAAAGCAGCCGACTTTGTGAAAGCTTTCATCCTCGGATTTCAAGTGGAGGTGAGTTGCCCTCGTTAAAATATATATTTACGGCAGACACAAAACCCATTTGGGAGGAATCCGTAGCTCAGTGGCAGAGCATCTGCTCGGCGTGCAGGTTCAGTCCCCGGCACACACCCCCCTTAAAGGACCATGCGGGAAGTGACGGGAAGGGCCTCTGCCTTGGAGACCCTGGAGAGTTGCTGCCAGTTTGAGTAGACAGTCCTGACCTTGCTGGACCAAGGACCTGTTTGGAGAGGGGCTGTGGCTCACTGGTAGGTCATCGGGTTGGCACGCAGGAGGGCAGCTCCCGGCATCTACAGTTAACAGAACAAGGCAGGAGGTGATGGGAAAGACCTCTGCCCCGAGACCCTGGAGAGCTGCTGCCAGTGAGTAGACAATACTGACCTTGATGGACTAAGGGTCTGATTCAGTAGAAGGCAGCTTCATGTG